GGAAGGAAGGAAGGAAGGAAGGAAGGAAGGAAGGAAGGAAGGAAGGAAGGAAGGAAGGAAGGGAGGGAGAGAGGGAGGGAAAGGGCTTGGATTAACTGGAGTTCACAATGGTTCTGTAGGACCAAGAGTCTTGACAGGCATGAACTCTGGTGCCAGCCTGCCCACATTCAAGTCACCAGCTCCGCGGCTTACAGCCTGTGTGGCCAAATGCCTTGTCATCTGTGTACCTAGACATGTGTAAGGTCATGGTGAAACTGGTAGTACTTGCCCTAGGGCTCTTGGGATAATTAAATGAGATCTTATGTAGGAAGTACTTAGACTAGCATTGAATTTTGCAGTCTCTGGATCAGACTCACTTAGGTAAAAATTCAACCTTCTCTACCTACTAGCTGTGTGATCCTGGCCCAGTTGTCTAAAATTGTCTCAGTTTCCCCATCAATGTGGACAGGATAATGATACCTACCTTGCAGGGCTGTTGCAACCTGATGCTTCTCAAACTGTGAGTTATAGTGAGATCTGAAACATATGGTCACAATGTGTATCAACAATATAGGGTGACAAATGATGACATAGTATCAAAATGTATCACTTTAAGTATTAGTTTTATGAAACTCATTTCTTTCTTTTTTTTTTTTTTTTTTTTTTTTTTGAGACGGAGTCTCGCTCTGCGGCCCGGGCTGGAGTGCAGTGGCAGGATCTCGGCTCACTGCAAGCTCCGCCTCCCGGGTTCACGCCATTCTCCTGTCTCAGCCTCCTGAGTAGGTGGGACTACAGGCGCCCGCCACCTCGCCCGGCTAATTTTTTTGTATTTTTTTTAGTAGAGACGGGGTTTCACCGTGTTAGCCAGGATGGTCTCAATCTCCTGACCTCGTGATCCGCCCGCCTCGGCCTCCCAAAGTGGAAACTCATTTCAATTATATATGTATGGGTTTGTGTACACCAGGTTAGGCAATGAAATATTTTGTATTGATGACTGAGTTTTTTTTTTTTTTTTGAGACAGAGTGCCACTCTGTCGCCCAGGCTGGAGTGCAGTGGCATGATCTCGGCTCACTGCAAGCTCTGCCTCCCGAGTTCACGCCATTATCCTGCCTCAGTCATCCAAGTAGCTGGGACTACAGGTGCCCGCCATCATGCCCGGCTAATTTTTTTTGTATTTTTAGTAGAGACGGGGTTTCACCGTGTTAACCAGGATGGTCTCCATCTCCTGACCTCGTGATCCGCCCGCCTTGGCCTCCCAAAGTGCTGGGATTACAGGCGTGAGCCACCATGCGTGGCCGATGGCTGAGATTTTTAAAAAGCTTAAAAAGAGGCCAGGCACCATGGCTCACGCCTGTAATCCCAGCACTTTGGGAAGCTGAAGTGGGTCGACTACTTGGGTCCAGCAGTTTGAGACCAGCCTGGGTAACAGGTAACACAGGAAGACCCACATCTCTATAAAAAATATAAATAAAAATTAAAAAGACTAAAAAGGGCACGACCTCTACAACTTACTCTAAAATAGGAAAAAAGTATATATATGTGTGTGTGTGCATATACATGTGTTTCTAGACATATGTATATACTTATCGTATGTAATATATACTATATTTAATGTTTATATAGACACACATATATATACACATAGGTAGAGAAGGATAGAGCAAAGGAAAATATGAAAAATCATGCCGGGCGCAGTGGCTCACGCCTGTAATCCCAGCACTTTGGTAGTCCGAGACAGGTGGATCACGAGGTCAGGATATCGAAACCATCCTGGCTAACACGATGAAACCCCATCTCTACCAAAAATAAAAAAAATTAGCCAGGCGTGGTGGCAGGCCTCTGTATTCCCAGCTACTCGGGAGGCTGAGGCAGGAGAATGGCATGAACCCAGGAGGCACAGCTTGCAGTGAGCCGAGACTGTGCCACTGCACTCCAGCCTGGGCTACAGAGCAAGACCTCATCTCAAAAAAAAAAAAAAGAATGCCCACATTAAGCCCAGTGCAGTGGCTAACGCCTGTAATCCCTGCATTTCAGGAGGCCAAGGCAGGCAGGTCATTTAAGTTTGAGACCAGCCTGGCCAACATGGTGAAACCCCATCTCTACTAAAAATACAAAATTAGCCGGGCATTGTGGCGCACACCTGTAATCCCAGCTACTCTGGAGGCTGAGGTGGGAGAATCACTTGAACCTGGGAGGCGAAGGTTGCAGTGAGCCAAGATCACACCACTGCACTCCAGCCTGGGCAAGAGAGTGAGACTTCGTCTCAAAAAAAAAAAAAAAAAAATAGAATGCCCATATTGGCCCCATGCAAGCCCCTGCTGCTCCCCCATGTGTGAGGGCAGCACAGATCTTGTGTCATTCCCCTATGAAAGGTGGTCACATAGCATGGGGATGCTGGTCCTGTGATCTTCACTTCAGAGATGAGAAAGCTGAGGTCCAATCATGGAAGAGGTTGCATGAGGTTCCTCAGCTGGTAGGTGGCAGAGCTGGAGTTTGGACCAAGGTCCCTGGGACAGTAATGCCTGTGCTTTTGTGTTTATAAAGGGCCAGGGAGATGGCAGGAAATATGACACAGTCCCTGGACCCACAGAGTGCTTGGTTTGCTGCAGGTCAGCATACAGAGGAAGTACAAGTGACTGGGGGGACTGGGGAAAGAGAGTAAAGGGTGTTCCAGGCAGAGGGCACAGCACGTGCAAAGGCCAGAAGGCAGGAAGCAGCACCATGCATTTGAGGAACTAAAGGAAGAGCAGTTAAGGCCGGGTGCAGTGGCTCACACCTGTAATCCCAGCACTATGGGAGGCCGAGGCAGGTGGATCACGAGGTCAGGAGTTCGAGACCAGCCTGGTCAACATGGTGAAACCCCATCTCTACTAAAGATACAAAAAGGGCCAGACACGGTGGCTCAAGCCTGTAATCCCAGCACTTTGGGAGGCCGAGACGGGCGGATCACAAGGTCATGAGATCGAGATCATCCTGGCTAACACGGTGAAACCCTGTCTCTACTAAAAAATACAAAAAACTAGCCGGGGGAGGTGGCGGGCGCCTGTAGTCCCAGCTACTCGGGAGG